TTTTTTTTTTCTGCAGTACATAGATTTTCTTTATAATCGCAGTTGTAGATATCTGTGTACATGTATCCGTAGAATCACAGAGTGACCAAGGTTGGAAAAGTCCTACAAGATCATCCAGTCCAACCCTCCCTCTAACACCAAAAGTTCTCACTAAATGATAACATTAATCATTTAACTTCTCCAAAAGCTTTTAAATTCTTGAAAATAGTTTGCTGATAGACACAGATGTTCTCTCATGGCTTAATGGACAGTAAATGACTAACATTTCTCAAATTTCAAGGCTTTTTCATCTGTTTTGCTTTTGAGACTAGAAAGACCATTTTTCTGATATTTTCCTAATGATGAACATGCTGACTGTGTCTAATTGCTGGCTTTTTATTGAACTGTGTGGTGAAAGATCAATATAAAACCAAGGTCATACAAACATGTTTTATCACCTTTCTGATGGAATGCCTAATTCTTGCTGTCGTTATCTGCATCATGAACTAATCAGCAACAGTGATAATACAAGTAATGATGCTGCAGATCCTTGACCTCAGCTTTCAATGCAAATAACTGCCTGACACTGTTACCATTTATGGTCACATTCAGCATTATTACATAAGATTTTGATGATTTAATTATTGTTTGGCATTCCATGGCACGCCATTACTTCATGTAGAAATGTTAACACACTCTCAAACAACTTCTGCAGCCCTATATAAGGATTATTACATATAGCTTTCGTTTAATAATAATTCTGAGAACGATAAGCTGCTCTGTACATGACCTATGTTGCTCCTACATGAGTTAGGAAATAAACTATCTGTATCTTGATAACCAAAATCTATGTTTGTGGTGACTTTCCAAGACACTGAAAGCAATGAGATTTTCATTTAGTTTCTATGCTGTTGAGCATCCGACTCTTAGAAGGAGGTAATGGGTAGGAGAACGAACTACTCAACGAATTATCATGCCTTTAAAATTAAGCAGCTTTTGTTGTGACAGAAATGATGGGATTTGTTGATAAAACTTGTGATATTGTGCTCATTCCTGTGTATGACACCGTAGTGTTGTGACATTATGCAGTAAAATTGCAGGCTTAGTTGATTTCTTCTGATTTTGTATGGACTTTATGCTGTTATCTGGTAATTCAGCAACGTATCTCTGGATTTGTTACAGTGCAGGTGAACAAAGGATCTGGCTCAAGACAATGCTCCTGGCATGACTGCTGCAGATGGAACTTACCTGTCTGCAAGGGGTAAAAGGATCCTAGCCCAGGAACTGGCAGGCATCATTGAAAGGTCTTTAAACTAGGTAAGAAGGGGGAAGGGGACAAAATGAGGGTTGCTGGGGTTGAGCGGGTAGTTCGAGGCTCAAAACAGAGCTTGATGGGTGATAAGGGTGGAGTTTGAAGGGATGGAGAGTGGCAGGGGGATGCTGCTTCCCTAAAGTGTCTGTACACTAATGCGCACAGTATGGGAAATGAACAGGAAGAACTGGAGCGCTGCATGCAGTCACGTGGCTATGATCTCATTGCAATCACAGTGACGTGGTGGGACAGCTCACATGACTGGAATGTTGTCATGGAGGGCTATGTGCTTCTTAGGAAAGATTGGCTGGCGAGGTGGGGTGGTGGAGTTGCTCTTTATGTGAGAGAGCAGCTAGAATGTATTGAACTCCACCGGGAGGAGAGTGGTGTAGCAGTGGAGAGCTTGTGGGTGAGAATCAAGGGGGGGGTTGGTAAGGGTGACACTGTTGTGGGGGTGTACTACAGGGCCCTTGCTCAGGAGGAGGAGGTTGATGAGGCCTTCCACAAGCAACTGGAAGTAGCATCATGATCCCAGGCGCTGGTGCTTATGGGAGACTTCACTTATCCAGATATTTGCTGGATAAGCAACATGGCCAGGCATGCGCGGTCCAGACGGTTCCTGCAATGTGTTGAAGACAACTTTCTGATGCAGGTGGTGGAGGAACCGACGAGGGGAGGGGTGTTGCTGGACCTTATTCTCACTAATAAGGAGGAGCTTGTCAAGGAAGTAAAGGTCAGGGGCAGCTTGGGTTGTAGTGACCACGAGAGGGTGGAGTTCAAGATTTTGAGTGGAAGAAGCAAAGTGAAAAGTAGGATTGCTACCCTGACTTTAGGAGAGCCATCTTTGATCTCTTCTGGGACCTACTTGGAGCTATCCCGTGGGCTAGGGTGTTAGAAGGGAAGGGGTCCTGTGAGAGCTGGTCGGCATTTAAACAGCTCTTTTTCCAAGCTCAGGATAAGTGCATCCCCGTGAGCAAGAAATCAGAAGGAGACCTGTGTGGATGAGCAAGGAGCTCGTGCGCAAACTCAAAGGAAAGAAGAAGGTCCATGAAATGTGGAAAAAGGAACTGACCACTTGGGAACAATATAGAAATGTTGTCAGGGCCTGCAGGGATGAGATGAGGAAGGCTAAAGCCCTCCTGGAATTGAATCTGGCAAAGGTGATAAAGGATAATTAAAAAGGCTTTTTAAAGTATGTTAACGGTAAAAGGAAGACGAGGGAGAATGTGGCTCCCCTACTAAGTGAGGGGGGTGTTCTGGTAATGGGGGATGCTGAGAAGGTGGAGATACTGAATGCCTTCTTTGCTTCTGTCTTCAGTGAAAAAGCTCTCCCTTGGGAATTCCAGACCCTGGAGGTTAATGAGAGGGTCTGAGGAATGGAAGACTTCCCTTCAGTCAGGGAAGAGGCGCTCTGAGAGCGCCCAGGCAACACCAATGTTCATAAATCCATGGGACCCAATGGGATGCATCCACAGGAGCTGAGGGAGCTGGCAGAGGTGGTTGCTGAGCCACTCTCAGGGAGGTGGTGGAGCCTCCTTCTCTGGAGATGTTCAAGACCCGCCTGGACACCTACTTCTGCAACCTGGGGTAGGGAACCTGCTTTGGCAGGGGAGTTGGACTCGATGATCTCTGGAGGTCCCAACCCCTACGATTCTGTGATTCTGTGAATCTACTCAAAATATAAGAGAAAAATTGAAAATGGAAGTTGTTCAGGGCCAGTGTTCAGTATTTTACTTTCATTTCTCAGTGTGTAGAATTTATTTAGCAATTTCTTCAGATAATCATCTAACTACTCACTTTTCTACTAATTGCTGTTTTCTGACAATTTGTTACCGCATTTAAGTTAGTTAAATGACTTCAATGGATTGTTTAAAAGAAAAGACTTTCATGAAGTTGATAAATACAGCAGTCTGTATTGATAAATACAGTGTTTGATGGGTAGGCTTAGAAATAAGTATGTAGACAGTATTGATCATCCCATATCCACTGAATCTGTATGTGACAAGAACATACAGAGATAAATGTTGCAATATTGGGTTTGACTTAACAAAAGGAAAAGGAGGATAGGTATGAAACAAAGCACATGTATCATTTATGCAACAACAAAAGAGGCAGTGTCTACCAGCATATACAAAGGATTGCCTGGATTTAGACTGAAGTGGGCAGAACCCTTACATACTGTCTTTACTTCTCATTAGCAGCAAATTTCAAAAAACAGGAAAGAAAGCACACAGTAACTTGGTTATCTTGAATTGATTAAAGCAAAATGATGAAATTCAAAACTTTCAAGTTGTTTGCATGGGGCAAGTAGGCAGGAATCAGAGCATTAATGACTCTGGGGTGCTCGGTTCCAAGTCTGTTGTCCATTTTTGCTCTTGGTTTCCTTCCCTGACATCAAGTAGGAGCCCAGGCAGAATGGATTTGCAATGCAAAATCAGTTTTATCCTCTGGCTCTTCCAGGACCATAAAGTGATTCACCTAGCTTTGTTTTTAAGCAATTTCTGCTTTTTACATTATGCAGTTCTTAGCAAACATACAAGAATATTTAGACAAAATCTGCTTAACAATATCTTTATTCTAAATGAATAAATTATGAAGGGAATGGTAGATGTTACCAGATACATTTAACATTTGTTACTAGGCAGATATTCCAGGACTTTAACTCCTAGGTAGCTCTCTCACAAAAGCTCTAACAGATAATTTCATTTTCTTTCTTTCTTTCTTTTCTTTCTTTTCTTTCTTTAAAAAACAAAAACAACAACAACAACAAAAAAAACTATTGGTGCTCTAGTTTGCCATACTTAATCTTGAACACAATACCACAGTCTAGCTAGGGAGTTGTAAATAAAGTCTGCCTTGAATTTGGCAGATTTTGTTCAGTTTGTTGCTGTAAGTATCTTCTATGGCAGCAGCCTCTGCCCAGGATCCTCCCACTGCCCCAGCACTGAGTACTTTTGCTGTACTGTCATGTGCCATGGTCACATTGCACAGATGCCTCTCTTCAGAGTCAGTGTCCCTAGTGAGGTGACAGCAGTAAGGCTGTCTCTGCAGCTCTTGGAAATTACTGAATCAGAGGACCTACCAAATGTGGATGGTGTTTCAAAAGGTAGTAAGAAAAGAATTATTTCACGTAGTCTTTAGCCACCAGCAAAGTGGCTGTGGCTTTTTTTGCACAGCTACTGTGGATGTGCTCAGTTACCTGCTAGGTTTTGTATTCAGCCAATATGTTTTTGTTTTCTTCCCTCTCTGTAAGATGTTTGGTAGTCACTGGAAGAGGTGTGAAGTACTGGTGTGCTAAAAAGTTATTCTACTTTTTGTCTTAAAGACAATGCATCTCAGAGGAACTTGCAGCCAAAGCAGGCTGCAACATTTCATGTAGGGAAGTTAAAACAGACTTGCTTTTGTCTAACCCATTCCAACTGCATAAATGAACTAATCACAAGCTCACCCTGCTGGGCTGATAACTTTTCTGATCCAGGGCAAGCAGCAATTTCTGAAACTGTGACTCATGTGGCATAACATATATGGTCACATACAGAGTAGACATAACCCTGAAGACAGAGGCAGCAGTTCACCTTCATGACAGCATCCCTGCACTATGCATCCTTGATGGATGTGGGGAGGAGTTTCACATCACCAGAACAAAGCAATCACATTCATCTGTTCAACAGCTACAACACAGCCACAGGAAATTTGGAAAACACTGCTAGGCTGCCCCTGTGCACAGTGCTTTTGTGTGGTCACCCTGACCTTTTTTATTCATTACTGACTATGAATATTCCTGGAGTAGCAAGACCATTTTTTGCTTTGGTCTGGATGTTGATTCTTCAACTTAGAATATTTCCTTGTATTGCTCCCTGGCTTGCACTTAGCTGAGCAGCAGTAAGGATTTCCACGCTGTTTGTTGCTGCTTGGTATCCAGCTGTTAAAAAGCCTTCTTGATCTGCTCCACCTGCAGATTCTCACATGGACCAATAAGCGTGGAAGGACACAGCTCACACACTTCAGCAAGGACCTGGAGGAGCCACCACAATGGCTTAAGCTCAGCCACTTGCAGGCTGCTTTTTTGAGTCTGTGACGGTGTTTGGGCTGTGGGAGGTACATCCAACAGGACCTGGACTCAGACCACAAAGGCCTTAGGACAGCCCTCAGATGGTTTCCATACTAAGGAAGAAATCAACGTTAGTTGGGCTACACAAATCTATACACTACATGGTGAAGAAATGTTATTCTAAATCACGCTTGATGTTTCTGAGATTAATGATTTTTTTTCCCTGTCCTTACACAACACTGCAAGCCCTCTACACATCAGTCAGCAGCTTGTAGAATGGATTCCAGACTTCTTTAGCTATACTAATATTATGACTATACATGGCCCTCCTTGTCTCAAGTAAATAATGGAGCAGTCTGCTACAACAAGATTTAAACACCTCGGGGATGGTTCCACCCACCATATCCTATTGGCTTGCTTTATCTTTTCTCTCTGACATCTCTGTCTCAGTTACTCGTTTCATAGCCAATTCACAGTATGTAAACTAAACATTAAATGAAATGATAAGAGAATGAGCATTACACGAATTTTTAAATCCAAGGAGACCCCACATTGCTTTACAAGCCGTGTGTTAATCCTGATGCTGTTCTTGGGATATTTGCTTACGCTGTCAGTAAGGACAGGAAGGAGAAAAAGTCTGCAGTGTTGCTTTGATTCTTCATAGAATGATAGAATCATTTGAGTTGGAAGGGACCATTAAAGGTTATATAGTCTAACTTCCCTGCAATGAACAGGGATATCTGCAGCTCTATCAGGTTGCTCAGAGCCCCATCCAGCCTGACCTTGAATGTCTCCAGGGACAGAGATCAACCACCTCTCTGGGCAGAATGATATGCAAGATATGCAAGAATCACATTCCTGTTATCATACAGTACTATCTTCTAGAATGAAGATGTTTTTTAATTGTATTATGAAAAATGTAGGACAGGAAACTAAAACTTTGGCATCTTTTGTCATCATGAAACCCTGTGGACTTTTTTGGAAAACATTTTTAACAGTATGCAAGTTTTATATCCTGGGATATATGCATATCTCACAGGACTAAAAAAATCTGTTTTGCATTTTCATATAGTATTTTATTATTTTTGAGCAGAAAGAAAGCTCATTTATAAATTGGAGCTATTCTTACAGTATGACACCAACTATATATATGTGAGTGTATTTGTGAGGTGTTAAAAAAGAATGTTTATTTTCTCAGTGGAGGAAAAAGCAGGGATAATTTTGATGCTTTAAGTTGATTTCATAAAGTAAAATCTTGCTGTTATCAGAGCAGATCAAGAGGTTGATGTCATCATCAGGAATAATGGAAATTCAACTATAAAATACAGAACTAAAAGAGGCTAATAACTTGGCAGTCTTAAAAGAAGTGATGGAAATGATAAATCCAGTAACTCCGTTATACTCCTTCACTGACAGAATGATTAAACTGTGAGAAGACAGTACTGAGATCATTTATCAAACACAGGCTGCAGCAGAAACAGACTTTGAAACTAAGTCTAATTCATACATATATGGCAAAATTTCCATATTTTCATGTATATAACCTGCAGATTATCTAATGGGGAAATAAATAGCCAGGCAACCTACACTTATTCCCCACTGTCTTAGCATGTGCTGTAGTAGACAAGACTTAACTTTTTCTGAAAGAGCTCCCTATTTAAAAACCTCTTGCACACACTGATCACCTTGCCTGTGATCGTCGCTGCCTACTGCACTTTCCTCTGTATTTTCCTGTGTTAAGTGCAGACTGAGACATCTATGAATTTAGTTTCAAGGGCTGCGAGCTTTCAAAAGTTGCAGGTTATAAGCTTGAAAATATGGTATCTTCTGCTGTGTCCTGAAACACAAGGGATAAGTACAGATTTGCTAAGGAAACAGCTACTTCTTTATTTCATTGAGCAATGAAAGGAACTAGAAAAAGTAAATGATTTTATGGGAACTAATAGGAGCATAGACAGACAGTGAGGTGGGGAAGGCATCAGAGTTAGTACAGTGATGTATCAATGCTCATCTCCTGCAAACACAGGAAAAAAGAGCATGTGATATGCTCACCTGATCCTAACGTACATTCTCCGCTTAATGCTTAAAAAAAAAAAAAAAAAAAAAAAAAAAAAGAAAAAAAAAAAAAAGCAAAGAAACAACAGAAGTCAGTAAAAGAAAGTGATCAAGAATTCTTCAAAAATTACTGGATAGTTTTCTTTCATATGGCAGAATTACCAATTGATATCACCGAGTCTAATATTTTAAACATAAGTGCATATATCCACACAGTCATTACACTTTTGTATACACACACACATTAAGCTGAAAACACGATCGGTGTGTGACTGAAGTGTTGGTTTTAACCTGAATGGCATTTTGGACTAAAGACTGGGAATTCCACATGCAGAAAAGCTTCAGGGATTGAAAGGAGAAGAAAAAAAGAAGAAAAAAAAAGAAGTGGAAGAACAGAAAAGAAGAATGCTTCTATCTAAATACAATCTTAAGTGACACTATTAGGAGTCTCCCATTTGGACAAGACCTGCTAAGTCTAAACTGCACCACATACATTCAGTGCTGACTGCTATGACAGATGAGCTCCTCTTTCACTGATCCTTTCCATCACCAAGTTTTCTGTTAATCACAAAAAATCTTCAATGATTTTCACTCTAGATTTACATTTAAAGTTAAGGAACACGTTATGTAATAAAAGGACTGTTTCTACCATCATCTTGTTTTCAACACAGTACTCCCCAAATGTTTCAGATCAAGACCAACGCTGTGACTTTACATGCTTCATGATATCAGAATTACCATCATCTTTTACACCTTCCTCATTCGTGGATCACTTTACTTTGCCAAAACTCCACTCTCTGAAACACTTCTAAAACACACTAGTGCACCCTCTTGCCCCAGGCTGAGTCTGTATGCTGTGTAGAAAACTCCTCTTGACAAGAAAATTAAAAAAAAATCACCTGCCTCACTTGACATCTTATTCAGAATATCACATTATTCAGGTCTCTTCCTTTGATTCTTTTCTGTTTGGTAAAAAACAGTCAAAAATCATTTTGTGACAATTTGTTCCATGGTTATCAGTCTTTTGGTTTCTTTTGTTTGTATTTTACATTCTCACTGTTTCTGAACCTGTCTCCCATTTGGTCTTGTTGTGGTTGTTTTGTTTTGTTTTGTTTTTTTTTAATTTTGTTTTGTTTTGGTTGCATTTAACTTTACAGTAGCCTACTTGTGTCATCCTGTCAAATTAGATTAAGCTATGCTTTTTTCAGCTATGCATATAAAAAACTAACCCGGTTTTCATGTTGTTTCTGTGTCTCATACCCCAAATGAAATTGTGACATCTTACATTGAAGCAAGTGTTGCTATTTATACAGTCTTTTAAAACCAGACCAACAGACATATAGATACACACGACAAATAGTCTTTGATACTAGATGAAAATTAACTTCATAATGGTTGATGTAGAAAAAAAATATATAATTTATTTATACCACAGAATAGAATCTTTAAATGGAAGGGACCTAATAAAACAATCTGGTTCCAACCCTACTGCTGTAGGCAGGATCACTTCCCACTACATCAGGCTGCCCAGGGCCACATCCAGTCTGACTCTGAGTACCTCCAGGGATGGGGCTTCCACAGCTTCGGTGGGCAACTATTTTGTACTGTTCCAGTTCCTCATCTCTCTCCAAGTAAAAAAAAAAAAATAAATCATAATATCTAAACTGTATCTACTCTCTTCAGCTTAAAGTGAATACAGTCCTGTCACTATATTTCTCTGAAAATGAATGCATCTTTCCTATAGGTGCCATTAAGGTATTGGAGGGCCTTGTGGAGGTCCCCCAGAGTCTTCTCTTCTCCAATCTGAACACACCAAGTTCCTTCAGCATCTCTTCATAAAAGAGGTCTGTCCCTCCAAGAAACTTCATGACCTCTTCTGGACCTACTCCAATAGCTCCATGTCTTGTGCTGGGTGCCCCAGCCCTGGATGCAGTACTCCAGATGGGGCCTCACAAAGGCAGAACAGAGGGAAACAGTCCCCGCTCTTGCCCTGCTGGCCAACCTTCCCTTGATAAAGCCAAATTTACAGTTGCCTTTCCAGGCTGCAAGTGTACACTGTGGGTTCATGTCCAGCCTTTTGTCTACAAGAACCCCAAGTTCTGTGCAGGGCTAAATCCATTTTTCACCCAGTCTCTATTGATGTCTGGGACTGCCTCCACCCAAGTGTAGCTTCTTGTACTTGCATTTGTTGAACCCCATTTATTTCATGTAGGCCCACTTTTTAAGCTTCACTAAGTTGCTTTGGCTGGCATCTTTTCCTTTTGTCGTATCAACTGCATCCTCATCTTAGTGTCATCAGCAAATCCGCTGAGGCTGCACTCAATGCCAGTCTATGTCATTAATGAAGATAGCAGATAACACCAATCCCAGTGCAGACCTCTAAGGAACACTCCTCATTACTGATCTCTATCTGGATATAGAGCATTGACTGCAACTCTCTGGATATGGATATCCAGCCAATTATTTATTCAGCAAATAGTCCACCCTTCAAATTCATCTCTCTCCAATTTAGAGACAAGGATGTTGTATGGGAGTAACATAACTATTTACCATTGAAAAATGGCAGCATCTATTTCTCTGAGAGAACAGTATTACAAGATGATGTAAGACATTCCAGAATAACAAATAACTCCTAAGCAGCAATTACATAAGAAAATTCATAATACAAAGAATTACGTCTTAGGTACTTGAATGGTACCACAACCCTGAATTTGCAGATGCTTCCAAACGCAAATGACTGTTCACACTACAAGGTAACGGAGTAAAAAAATACATCACAGTATGGCTTAATTTACTTACCAGGCAGATGTACTCTGAAAAGACATCAGGGGTGGGCTTAAAGCATCTCCTTTTAGAGTATGTACTGTCTGTGACGTCTGAGGCTGTGGCTGAGGCTGAGTTTGAGGCTGTGTCTCTGGCTGAGGCTGAGTCTGTACTTGGCTTGGGTCCTGAGCAGAATTAATCCATCGGCTCTGTCCTTGTGTCATCCACTTTCCCTGGATTCCCCACCGTGCTAGGTAAAATTTGCAAATATCATAGTTCATTGAAGAGTAATACAAAAGGTCCAGTACCAGCAAGATCACCACAAAAAAACCATAGATCCACACCCCTAACAGTGCGCTGTAGTTGCTGTGAAAAAAAAAGAAGGGAAAACAAGTCAGGTAATACGTCAGTAATCATCATTGTATTAAGAGTTATTTGTTTCTTCAATTATGTCAGTAGAATGCATAGAAAACAAAAATTTTCTTTTGAAGTATATAATTAAAAATTATAAATACTGTGTGACATACCAATTTATACCAATGTATAAATGTGGTCTGTGATTAACTCCAGTGCTTTAAACGAGACCACAAACGAAGAGTTGATGTTAGGTGTGGTAAAGAAGAGCAATGAGAGTGAATGTCCATCTCTTTTGGCCTAGGACCACTCCTTCTCTGCCACTGAGTGCAGCCCAGTTCCCTGGGGTCTCTGTTCAGGCTGAGGGATAGGGCTGCTGCTTCTCCCTTCACAGATTTAGCCATTAGCAAAACTGAGCATACATTCCAGAGTCACAGACAGGCTGCTCCAGCCAAGGGCTGCTTTCAACAGCACTTACACACAGCACTCATGTAGAACAGACACAGGCAGCCAAGACCCCTTCCTTCTCTCTGCCTGGCAGAGACATAAGATCACCAGTACAGGCGTACACACATCTCCCTCTACGTTCATGAACACACACACATTTGCAATCCTTCAAGCACTTGGTATGGGTCCTCTGTCCATCTAGTATTTCCCCAGACCCCACAGGTACTGGCATGGCCTTTCTGTCTGCCCAGAACTCCTCTGCCCTGATCCTTAAGCACTGCCTGGCACAGCCCTTCAGTCTGCCCGGCACCCCTCCCCACACCCTGAGCCCCGTGGGTGTCCTACTTGCTGGATGGTCTAGCTTGAAGTTTGCTGGTGAATATATACTACCCCTTCCCCTGCACACCTCCTTGGGTTTGCAGAGCTCTGTGGCACATTCCCAGTTCAGGCCCCATTGGATCACAGTTGTATCAGTTGCAAGGTTCATACTTCCTAGAAGCAGTACCTGCAGCTCATTAGCCTGCCAATGCATGTGACTGGAAGGTTTGTTTCTTGTGATGCTTCCCACCTTAAAAGTCATCCATCAGCTAACCCTAAAGGAATAAACATTCCTACGCTCTTACCTGCTCTCATAAGTTAGTGTGACTGACCAGATTTGGTGTCCATCACTGCTTCCTTGTCTTGTTACCTCTTGTTTCATTGAAAGAGGTCCTTGACCAGATACCCTTAAAAGAGCAGACATTCTCTTTCCACATAGCGTTACAGACAGGTCCTGTGTTTTATTCTGCAAATTCCTTCTCCCAGAGAATAACCTCTCTGGAAGCAACAAGGCATTTATATAGAAACATAGAATCACAAGGTTGGAAAGGAGATACAAGATCATCTAGTCTAACCATCCTTCCACTACCATTGCTACCACAAGCCACTAAACCATATCTCATAGCTCCTCATCCAGGTATCTCTTGAACACTGACAGGGACTGCAACTCCACCACCTCCCTGGGCAGCCATTCCAGTGCTTGACCACTCTATGAGAGAAAAAGTTTGTCCTTATGTCTACTCTAAATCTCCCCTGGAACAACTTGTGGCCATTTCCTTGGGTCCTGTTTGTTGCCTGGGAGAAGAGGTCAAATCCCTCCTCACCACAACCTCCCTTCAGGAAGTTGCAGAGTGTCTTCCTGAGGTCTCCCCTGAGCCTCCCTTTTTCCAGACTAAACAATCCCAGCTCCCTCAGCTGCTCCTCATAAGACTTGTGCTCAGACCCTTCACCAGTTCCGTTGCCCTTCTCTGGACACATAGGGGTGAGGATAACCATATGAAAATATGTTGCAATCATTGACCCTGAGGAGGTGTCTACTACTGAAAACAGTCACTGCTGACATGTATTACAAAACTCCAGTCTTAAAAGTAGCTCACAGTGCTTGGACTTGCCTTCAGTATTCTGACTAATTATTGTTGGATGCAGCAGATGCTATTACAGGTACCTCTCAGATCATTAGTTTGCTGGTAGTAAATTTAAGAAGGAAAAATACTGACAAGATCTTATTATATTATGCATTCAATAAGAAGAAATTATTACATTTGTATGTACATGTTGGTGTAGCTATAGGGTGTATATGGATAAAGGCAGTAAAATTATCTGCTGCTGGCATGGTATGCAGAGCTTTAAAGCTAGGACAGATGAGTAAAGCTATTAAAAGAAAAAAGAAAGAAAAGAGGTCGAGAACTGGGAGAACAAAAAGGGGAAAAAGTGCTAAAGCTCTGCAGGCAACACAATACTAAAAGTAAACAACTATCAGATGAAAGTGCAGTCTGGATTGGAAATTCTGAGTGAGGAAGATGAGGTGAGAGCAGAGAAGGAAAGAAACAAGTAAAAATGAATTTGTTAGGTGTGCAGGAAAGAACACTGATCTAGACTTAAGAGCTTATGTGGAAATAGGTGTGGAGGCTATGAAAATGAACAAGCAGAAGAGACACTAATAAAAAATGTCATTAGGAAGACAGCCATAGGAGAAAATGATCTCAGAGTAATAGTACTATGTAAGTACTCCCATCTGTTTGGAGCTGAACTTACACAAAGAGAATCTAGTACCAGCTCAACCATACTCATTCATAGACACTCAGGGAAACTTTGAGGGAATTGCATTTCATCAGAACATCAGTCAAGCCTGAAGAAAAAAGGCTGGGAATATGTATTGTAGACACAAGAAAGAAAGATATTTTGACAGTTTGAAAAAATGTCCCAAACTCTTTCAAACCTAAACCATTTCAAGCTCCTGCTTTGAACCTTCACTTCTGTTTAAACTGTTGTATGGCTCTTTCATTTTATACTAAAAAAAAAAAGTCAGTAATTGAAACAAGAAATCACATGAGAAATCAGAATTTTAATTTCTGTTGCTGCCTGTAAGCACATAACAAGACTGATTCCCCTTTTCAGTGAGTGATCTTTCCACTAAGCTGATAAACACACCTAGATTAAATGAGGCTCCATAGCAAACGATCGTAAGGAAACGATCAGGAAGGTTGGGGCTGTTAACAGGCGCTTCTGCGTAACTGCAGGATTAAGCTAGCCTAGGATTTCAAACTTTTCAGTAAATTCCTAGAAGGACTGGAAGTAGACAAAGCATAGTGCTTCCAAGAGCCCTTAATTCAAAAGTCAGAAAGAAATCTACTGTAACAAATCCTGTCTTTCTGCACCATTACTGCCAACAGTGTCTGTGTTACAAAGATGTGAACTGTGTTTGATCCACAGGAAGAATGGAAATGTTAGAAAACATTATTTTTGTTTAGCAGCAATTTGAGAGGGAGGAACATTTCTTATTGTTACCTCAGAAGAATTCATTGCTATTTCAGGCATTTAGTTTTACCCATCAGAATTTTGGTTTAGTGAAAATCAGAGTTATTTTGAGTGCTCCAATTTAAAGCAACAATTTATTAATCATGCCATATACGAATTCTCCATCTGTTCCTTCTAAATAACATCTGTTCCTCACAAGTACTGAAATGAAAGAGTGCCTTATTTAACTTAACAGACAGTGGGCCAGCATCACTATCAAAGGAGCCTCGTGAAAGATCACAAGCAAAACTAATAGAGTAGTGCGCTTCATACACAGAGAGAAATGCTGTATTTTGATACACTTTGTTTCTCAAACTATTAAGTTGGTAGAAAATACTAATTTTGCTGATGTTCATAACTACATTAAAAATTAAAACTTCCCTACAAATTGAGAAGATACCTTAATTAGATAATAAACAACCTTACGTCTGTACCGCTGAATAACAGTAGGGCCAGAGACAGGGCAAAGAACTGGGAATCAAAGCACCTAGGACTGTATCATTTCATTGAGCTGAATTATTTAATTTTAAAAGTTTCACCCTGCAATTTGTATTTTCTGTGCTTCTGTGCAGAAGTTTCATTTTGATAAAAAAAATAAGTCCGAATGGATTCCCAATCTGTCAAGATTCAATTTATTGGAGTTTGTTCCTTCACCAGGACAGACAAGTCTAATTTGGTTGCTTTGGTGTGGTTGTATCTCCTTCTCCCCCTCTCTGGGTGAAAAGCCTGTCTTCATCTCCTAATTCTCCCACCCTCCCAACAGGTGATTCTGGAGCTTTGCTTTTAGCTTCCATACAAGGTTAGCATAGTAATGCTGGAGTGACTTCCAAGGCCATCCTGCCCAGTCCTCTGCTGTCAAAGACCCACAGATAGAAAAACTGAATATGGAGTAAAGTTACATGATCATTCCTTCCTAGCTTGTACATGAAACAGAATAATTCATGGATCTACCACAAAAGCTTAGGAGCTCTTTATTTCAAGACACTTCGGCTTTTAAAGAAATAGAATGTACATAATATGCTATAGAATTGATGCAGATATTTACTTTTGTAAATATTTGCTCTGGCTTCAAGAAGCCTTGAATTGGGCTCTCTGAGGAAAATAAATACTTTTTTTACCCGTCTCATCCAATTCCATGTACAAAATCCTACACAGATTTCTCTGACACCCCTACAAAGAAGTGAAAATAGTCAGATTATGTTATTATTTTTACCCATGCAATTCCTTCAATCTAATTTATTACCTTTTCAATAGAGATGGCAAGCAGGTTTTGGACTAGGCTGCTTTTTAGAAGAGTTTGTTGGTTTTTTTTATATGCCGCACACGAACAGAAAATAATTCATTAAGGAATTCGGGCTTAAAAAAGCCCAACAAATCAAAACAATTGTGAGCAGAATTCTACAGCTGCAGTATAAATGTGGGCAGATGGCCATGGAAAATGCTTCTTTCCCTATTCTAGTTTAAAAGGACTGTTGCTTGCAGTAGTAACACGTTTTAAGTGTTGCCCCAAGCAAATGCAAGCTTACCTCCTTGCAAATTCCTTGGTACTTCTATCACTGAGGAAACCTCAGTATTTTTTTACATACACACTAAAATAGAAGATATCTAAAGATGTTTGTCCCATCTTCTATTTTCCTGAAGAATCCACTGCTGCAGTACCTAAGAGGTCTTCCCAGCTAGATTGCATCTTTTTGGAACAGTTGGTGGTGGAAATGAAAATTTTATGTATTTATTTAGCTTTGCTTTCTGTAAAGAAGATTTTCTGTGAGATATTTAACCAAATGCCAGCTCTGCAGGGGACATGCTGCACATGGAGAAAGATACTGCTATTCTGGTCTCACATTGCTTTTGGTGCAGTGTTGTAGTGTGCTATGCTAAAGCCATTCAACTCTGAAAAACTGGAATAAAACATAAAAAAACCACGGATGCATTACAGACTGCCATAACACTGTTCCAGTGTCAGATCAAGGACTCCTAACACAGTACTGCTGCTGATTCCTACCAGAACATGCATAACAGAGAATCTGAGAGAGGACAAATACAAGACTCAGGTTAATACAATTTTTAAGAATAATCAAATAACTTATTAGACAAAGTGTTATGGAAAAATTTTTGGATGGCAGAACCTTTTTTTGTCTGTTAGACATCACTGGTATTCCTATATTTAATACTACATGAATTGCTAACATTTAAAAATATTATAAACTGATTAGTCTGTGTGATTGCAAAGATATAGACCAGTATTCTGCAGTTACCAAAACACAGAAATGTTTAGTTATGGAAATTTAAGTAATGTAAATAAACCCACTATCAGTACACTGTATGACTGCAGAAGACAAATGTGGTTTTTCAGCCATGTCACAACAAAGGAATTACATATGACTTCATTAATTTTTCCCCTCAGTTGCCTGATAAAACAAGAGATGTGTTTTGATGATCACAAGAATGGCAAAGGGGAAAAATAACAAAATATTAATAATATTGAATCACTCTTCCCTTAAAACTCTAATAACTATAATGCTGTTTTTTTCAGTTCATTGCTACTCCCATATCCTAAATCATTAATTCTCTGCAGCCACAGTACAATAGGTTTCACCAGATTTTTTTTTCACTGGTGTGTGAAATTACATCTAAACAAATAGCTGACTTTGTAACAGTATAGTGAATCCTGGATGTATTAGAATCCAAATAAAATTACAAAAATTAAATGAAGTCCAAGTGTGTTAAGATGTTTATTATAATGACCTAAGTGCAGGCATCTAGGCTTCGCTTCTTTCTGCTCTTCTACAGCACATTAAAATCATAAGAAAGTCTTCTACAAATCTCAGTGAGCTCAAGATGAGGAGATTTCTCTCTGTCTCTTTACACTGGAGGATTTTTAATAGACAGTTAGCTTCTCTTCATTTTCCTGGCCCTGATGGATTTAATATCTCAGAAAGTTACAAAAGGGGAACAGTGGTTTCACTCATGCACTTCTCTAAACTATCTCTCCAAAAGCTCTTTTTTGTATTTAACATTTTCTCTCACACCTTTGCTTTGCACCTTTGATCAGCACATAGCTAATGTCCACAAGAAATTCTGGACTGAAGACATATGTAAGTTATGCACTCTGCAAGTGATTCTCAATGACTTTTACCAACAAACACTACAGAAATAGCCCCTTCTCCATCACAGCTGCATGAAGTGACTTTTAAAGAAGTGATTGCTTGATTAAAACTAAAATCAAGTTACACTAGGCTCTAAGTATTTTAATTAAAGCCAGATCCCATAGCCCATAGAATACCAAATGACCTTCTTTCCCATTGATGAACTGCTTACACATCACAGCCCTGAAATAGAAAGAACTCTGTGTTTACTTCTGTGGGTGCATGCATGTGTGTGTACATGTACACGTGAATGCACATGCAAACAACAAGGCAAGTGGCAGAGAAATGTTCTACATCCCAGGAGATACTATGCAAGTATCACTCTTTTACACTACGTATGCTACAGGCTCCTTCATTCTAGGTGCTTGTTGCTAACACCTTTTAAGTTATAGTGTGCAATCTACACAAGATTCAAACATCAGAAGGCAGAGCTGTAGGAAAGGTGTTAAGGAAGACAACACTGAGCTGGCTGCTGCTTGCTGCAGTTAAAAGCTAAAGGAGCCAACATCAGAACATCAGTATTCCAGCTCTGCACCTTGTACAATATAGATGAATGACAACAAGCTGACCAAGGTTTGCACCAGAAAACAAAACACTGAAATCCCCATAGTAACCAAAAATCAATAGGTTGGAGTTCCAGCTGTCTTTAAACTGTCCCCTTCTTGCCCTGAAGGGCCTGGATACCAGAATAAAATGTCAGGGAAAAGCAGACAGATCAGAATTTGACTGTGGGAGTTTACATCAGCTGAAAGTTGCCCTCTGCACCAAGAGAAATTACAGTGGATTAGTGTGGCCAGAATATAAAATATGATACAAGACAGATCACAAGTGAGCATTTTGCCATCATAAATAAGTAATCAGTAACAAACATCTGCTTGCTACAGATTAGTTTCTTATGAAAAAAACCCACAAAACCAACAAAACAAAACTAACTGATATTTAACCTAAGGATAGGCCCAGAACTGCATGGAAGTATCTCAGGTAAGAGGCAAGGAGACCACACAGTGTTGGTATATAAGCAAATACATTCTGTTCCCCAAGGTCAGAGATTACAAGAGATTTACATGTGAAATATCAGAGATTCAATACAGGGCTGACATGGAAAAAGTCAGCTCCCTCCCTCTTCCCCCATGGATGTGGTTTTGAGGTTTATTTTTACAGACGTACATTTAAATATAGTTCAGATAAGACTGAAGCTGAGGAGAGACTGTTCATTTGTAACTTTTATATATATCTTTATATCTCTTGTATTTATATGCAGCTTTTACTTACACACTGTCCAAACAATGTTTATAATATGCACCAAAGCAATGAAAGCAAAGCTAAAATACCATTTCTTTTAAAAGTTCTACAATAGCAAAAGCCTTTCAGCAATGTTTCTCTGTGTGTGAATATTTTAATTGCTCCTATCATTAAGTACACCTCAGACTACATTACTAGACCAGGAACAGTTTGGTGAAGAGCACTTAAAACTCATGTACTTACTTATGCATATATCCATCTACATTCCCTGTTAAGTTCATCTGCATAACAGTCTGAAATTCTGTCTCATTGCAGCAGTATTTAAACACTGTGTTGTTATGGTGACAGCAAAAGATGTAAGATTTATTGTCAGAAAGACGGGGGCAGTGAAAACCAAAGTGGTAGCGTCCTTTGTAGTCTGTATATGGCTCGCAGACCCGAAAATGTGCGGACAACACTGTAAAACAAAGAACAGTATTAGCATGGTGAGTCATTTCTGTCATCTGTGTGCTATGAACTACAGTTTTTCATTGGTTAAGCTTAAACAACTGTTCTTTGATTTCTGAAAAAGTTAATATTTCAGAACTTTCAACATTATAACATTTTATATTAAAAACCATAGCATTTAGAATTTGTTGTTTTTTGACTTTTACTACTGCTATAATTCTGATAACTGCCATTTATTTCAAGGGAAGAACTGCTTTCCAAGCCAAGAAACACAATAGTATTTAGGAAAACATTTTCACGGTGTGTACACAGATATCCACAAACACCTAACAATGTCCATGTTTGATTTTCCATCAATGACTTCATAGAAACAAAAAGCTGATATAAAAACTGCAACAAAAGTTTGAAGATGCTTGATCTCTGGTCACTGTTACTGATAGAAATCTCTTTTCCACTGTGAAGGTAGTTCTTCAGTAAGGATTATTCTGTCAGATATAGGAAGTACAAAACAGTTTAACAGATCTCAACAACTTTGAATTTGCAAGGAGACAGAACTAATAGAAATACAGCTACTCCTGGGAATTCTTACAGGTCTTCTTTATTAAATTCTCATGTAAAGTGTTTATTACCCCTCTGAGAACATTTTTTCCTGGACTGTCGCAATGCTTTTACCATCACTTTTCCTGAAAAAGACATAAAAGGAAGGCCATCCATACCCTTTGAATGCAGCTGACTGCTGCAGTGACTGGCACGCTGTGGTTACAGCTGCATGGTAAGATCGCAGGCAGCCTGCTGGTTACCAGCAGCTCTGAACTGGAAGCCATGCAATCACCTCAGTTTGCCTGAACTAAGCAAGCGTGCCGAGGGGCAGCAGAGAGAGCCCTTCCAGCATGGTTGTTAATCACCTACATGTGAGTACTTTGTACATCTGAAAAGTCCTGTACAAAAAAAGCTCCATATACCGTCACCATTCTGATTCATTTTTGTGGAAGGCCCTGCAGTATTAAGGGCTATGTGTACCATAGGGTGCCCAAAGGTCTTCCACTCTAAAGAGAACAAAATATAGAAGTCAAGAATCTGAATGCACAAGTGGCAGTGAAATGTTTTTACTCTGATTAGAGAACAGAGGCACAGTAATGCTGTGGGCAACTGTGCTTTGTGAGGTCACACGGACTGAAGATGCTCACTTTAGGCTGGCAGAATTAAATCTTCTAACTTGATGTATGATTTTCATATATGTTTATCAGTACATGAGGATACTTATAATGACTGGCATAGATTGAGCTTAACTGTACAGCATCTCTCCACACACAGTTCCTGTTGACTGAAAATCGTTGCTTTCTCATTTTTATTTTCAGGTTTCTCGCATTCTTTTACTGTGGGCTTAATCAAATTTTAACGATCATTGCAGTGGAAATGACTTCTTTATTTATGCGTATAGAGGGATATAGAACAAAGCATTAAACTGAGGAGAAAACAAGGTCACATATTCCCTTCTGAATGAAGGAAAACTACTCTAAACATTTTACAGTCTGAAATATGTATTTATTTTAATGGCTAAACTGAGGCCTAAAAAAAATTGCATGAGAATCTCATGAAATCAGTGCAGGAATTCATTTGCATCCTCTCATGCCAATGTTTAGTTTTTCATTTACCTGAAACATGGTCCTCCTTGATAATAGGACATGTGTGCCTAGAATGCAAACTTAGGTTTTGTAACCACAAATTTATTGAGAAAAAAAAAAACACCAAACCAGATAGATGAGGGCCTCCAAGGACAATCAAATGTGTACAAAACCTGATTCACCCTTTATGAAAGTTCGTATCTCCACTTGTCTCTATTTCTACTGATTGAAGATCTTACAGCAGTTATCCTCCAAAAACAGACCTCAGCTCCATGCCTAAAATTAGCTGAGATGAACCTAAGCTCTAGTATTAGTGTAGCACAGTGTTCAGAGAGGCAAGTAATCTCAGATATGGATTGGTAGGATAATGCAACTATTATGCACATTATGTACACACACACACCTGTCATTATTACTTTAACAACAAAGAAAATCCCTTCATAGACAATGTCACTCGGGATCTGAAGAGCTTGAAGAATGCTGTGATTACCAAAGGAATACAGACACATGTATTTGTTTGAACAAGTACTAACTTCTCTCTCCCCTTGCCCCATCACCTTAAACAACAGCAGTAAAATGTAGGTGTTCCATGATTGATCCACATTTGAAAAATTACAATGGCTGAGGTTGGAAAGAAAGTTGCCTGGCCCAACCCCTGCTCAGGCAGGGCCACCAGAGAGCTGCTGATCAAGCCGATAGGCAGCTTTTGAAAATCTCCAAAAAGGAGGCTCCACAATCTCTCCAGGCAATCTGTGCCAGGGCTCTGTCAACTGCATGGGATGAGATTGCTTCCTAGTGCTCATAGGGAGCCCCCTGTATTCTAGTTTGTGCCCACTGCATCTAGTCCTGGTACTAGGCAGCACTGTAAAGAGCCTGGCTCTGTCCTCTTTGCATATTCAGGTATTTACATGCATTAATGAGATTCCCCTGAGACTTCTTTTCTCTAAGCTATATAGTCTCTCAGCATTTCCTGATATGAGAGATGCTCCAGAAACTTCTTCATCTTAATAGACTTTTGTTGGTTTCTTTTCATTATCTCTGTCTCTTGCCTGTACAGAGGGGCCCACAGCTGAGTATTTTTGATGTGGCCTCAGCAGTGCTGAGTAGAGCGGAGGGATCACCTTCGCCAACTTGCTGGCAATACTTTGCAACCCAAGACACTATTACCTATCTTAAATACAATGGCACTCCACTGTTTCATTTTCAACTTGATGCCCACCAGTATTCCCAGGTCTTTTTCTACCAAGTTGCTTTTCAGTTGGGCAGTCCCAGCATGCACATGTGCATGTTCCTCTCTAGTGACGAGACCTTCTTTTTCTCCTGTTAAACCACACAAGATACCTGTCAACCCAAATCTCCAGCTTGTCCGGGTCCCTTTGGAAGGCAGCATGAACTTCTGGTCTCTCAGCTACTCCTTCCACTTCTGCATCATCAATAAACTTGCTGGGGTGCACTCTCTTCCATCAACATTTTAGTTTTAACTATGCACGTTTATTATTTATTATTATTATTATTATTATTATTATATTATTATTATTATTATTAAAGCTGAGACCTATGGCACAGAAGAAATTCATAAACCAAACAGAGTATTTCAGTAATGATTTGATTTCTAAAATGACCAGAAGCTTGATTCATTTACTTAAATACAAAACTCTGGTGCCCGTTAAGATTTCCCCAGTCTGTCCTGCCTCCTCTCCAGCTTTCAGTGAAGGAAGTTCAGGTCTCTCATAGCTCCAGTGCACACATGGATGAGCTAGAGCAAGTCAAATGGCATTAAATTAACATGGTTAAGCTCTTGTAAAGTGCCCTAGGCATTCTGTAAATGTTTAATACCAGCTTGCAGGGGTGCATTACAAACACTCTAATGCATATAGTTCTACTAATCATTGTTACTAGGAAAAAAGCATCCATGTCTAATGTCAACAAACAGAAAGAACATTGACCTCCTTTCTGGTAGTCATACAGATCAGTATATCAAGGTAATGCCTGCTTTGTGTTTTACTGTAGATCTCTTTACAATCAGGGAGCTTTCCTATTAGTCACGTTTCTGGGCCTAGTAAATCTGAGTGAAATGGTAGCCTTCATGGAGTAGCCTTGCACTTCAATAGTGACATTTATTCATAGCATTTTTATTCACAGTAGTGAGCTGAAGAGTATCCATTTAATCTTTCTCTGATAAATTGCCTGCTTCAGATGCTTCAAATGAAGACATATCTGTGTTATGCTGTGCAAAAAATGTTCTTTTAAGATATATACAAGCTACTTCAAAAGTAATGCCTCCTGTTTTATAGTACTGGCTAATGACGTTAGAGGCAGTGTTGGCAGTATGACTGCAGAGGCTGAATCTTCCCACCAATAATCCATTACATTTTCTTGCTGTGAGACAGATGGTAGCAGAGGGACAACCTGACTAAATAACGTCTGTACTGGAAGTGTGGAGGCAGCAAAGGTGTGTCATCAAATTCCTCCGTGTGAAAAAAAATGGCACCCATTGACATTCACTGACATTTGGAGACCAAACAGTAGCTGTGAGCACAGTGAGGTGGTGGGTGGTGCATTTCAGGAGTGGCAACGGTGACAGTGGATCACCTCTGATGGTACAGATTTTTACAAACGCAGCATGCAGGTTCTTGTTCAGCACTGATGAAAATGCACAACTAATCATGGTGATTATGTTGAAAAACAGCATTTTGTAGCTGAGAATTTGCTGCATTCAATACTCTTATCGTGCTCTTTGTATCTGTTACAATTTCCACAGAAATAAATAGGAAGCATTACTTTCAGAGCAACCTACAGATGTACCTCATTATACCTTCATTTATCATGCTTACTTGATATATAATTAGATGAATGTTATGACATATACATGTTAAATGTAGACTTTTTTTTTTGTGTGTGTGATGCCTTTTTCCTTCAAAAGTGTTAGATTACTACATTACAGCTACATAGTAATTTTTGCAGTGTTTAGTATAGATTGTTGTTTCAAATTTGGGACATTTTAAGAGAAAATGCTAGAACTAGCTTTGAAAATAATAGGATAGCAAAACTACGAGTTTTCATATATAGTTCTGCAGCTTAGCCTGGGTAAATTACAGCCAGGTTAAACTACTGCAAGAGAACAACAGCCCTGTGAGGTTAGGCTTGAGTTGTATATGGCTCCAGTGCATGTTGTCAGAACTGAAACTCCTTCTCATAAGCAATGGAATACTTCCACGCTTCTGAAACTATCCAGTGCTGAAAAAGAAACTGCATTGCGAGAATGCATTAAAAGGCTCCAGGAAGGTTTAGATTCTTCCTCACTGCAAAGTAGTTTACTTATCAGCACATGTGAAATCTGATCCCTAGGCAGATTCTTTGACCATTCTGAAGGAAAATTAAAACACAGCTGAATTTGGTGGTGAAAACATGGGGAAGGGTGACTACAGAGAGAAGGCAGAATAGAAGATAACATTGGGTCAGAGCGTGAGTTAAGCTTCTAATAAAATGTATTCCCAAACAAACCCTTAAATAGTAAAATGTGTGCTAGTGATTACAATAAATAGACAAAAAAAAGCATGAAGTGATGTTTGAGTTCTGGTCTGAATTTGCTAGTCACTGCGTGGTGGGATAACCCTAGTTGGCAGCTATCACCACAAAGTCACTCATGAACTCCTCCTCCCAGTGAGAGGGGGAAGAAAATCAGGAGGGCAAAGTGAGAAAACTTGTGGGTTGAGATAAAGGCAGTTTAATTTGTGAAGAAGAACAGGAGAAAAAAAATAGGTGACACGAAGGCAATCACGCACCACCAGTGGAGAGATGTCTAGTCCATTCCCCAAGCAACGGCAATTAATGGGGGAAAAAAAAAAAAAGCAACAAACTCCTGTCACAGCTTTATGGCTGGGCATGACATTATCTGCTCTGGAATATCACTTTGGTCATTGTGGTTCAGGGGGTCTGGCTGTACAGCCCCAATGAGAAACAGAAAATGCCTTGATGCTGTGTAAGCAGCGTCCAGCAACAGCTGCAGCGTTGCTGTGCTATCAATGCTGTATTGGTCATCAGTCTGAAACACAGCACCACAGAAGCTGCTGGAAAGCAAAATAATCCCATCCAGCCAAATCCAGTACAGCGTGACAAAGCATTACACAGTTTACAATAAATCAATCATTTCACTTGCTGTATTTGCTTATTGGATCTCTGATTCCTAGAGCAAACTAAAGTATAATGTTTTACAAAATATTTTTCCTGAAAATAACTCAAATCCTGAGCATGAAAGAGCCTTGTCTCTACAGCAATACTTAGGATAAAAGTAATGTAGCTGAAAGGCTGTGGGTTGTCTGTTGCAAAGATGGCAGCTGTTTCTGGAGTGGATTTGCATGTGCAAATTATCATCCTGTTTTTAAAAGGCATTACTGAACAGGTTGATGATATAGATGCTCCTATCTCTGTTCCTACTAATTTCCGGAGAATAGTCTGCTATGCTTCAACAGACTGATTTGAGCTCATCTTAAAATTTATCCAGTCTACCATAAAAAGTAAACAGCCAGTGTATATGAAGCTGCTACTGCAGCCCTACCTGTTCATGGTTAAACTGTGCAATTTTTTTTCTAATTTAGTCACATAATTTTTCAAGTACCAGAATTTTCAGAATGGCTGATCATTATAAGCTTTCCAAATAAATCCATACAAATACTCACATATTTACATTTTACTTAGCACAACACCAATCATCTGAGAGTCTCTGACAATTTTGCTATGTAAACATTCATGTTTTAATTGAAAGGATAATTAATGTAACATGCAAATAATGTCAAATTTTGCTTGCTAGTATAAGCTTCCATGCCATCCCTTATGTATTTCAATCCATTACATGAATCTAACTATCAATATTCCTGTACAGTAAAAATAGCCATTACAGTGGCCTGAGAGGATATTCTTACCGTATGACTGCATGCTGCTTCTCCCTCTATTAGACGCTCCCTATTCAGTTAGTACAGTTAATAAACGTCCATGTATTCTGAAATTGTGCATCACTGTGATAAAACAAAATCAGTCTGAAGTTTTAGTATGCCCAATTTGATTTTATCTTTTTTTTTTTTTTCCTTCATGGGGTCACAGTCTATTTCTCTTATATATTTCTATCTATTTCTATTATATATTTCTATTATAACTATTTCTGCATGCATCAGGACAGGTTAGGGGATGATCTGCTGGAGATGAGCTCTGTGGAGAAGGACATGAGGGTGGGTCCTTGTTGACAAAGGATTAGCCATGAGCTAGCAGTGTGCTCTGCTGCCAAAGAAGGAATGGCATCTTGGGGTGTGTTAAAAAGAGCATGGCCAGCAGGTTGAGGGAGGTGATCCTCCCTCTCTACTCTGCCCTGGTGAGGCTATGTTTAGACTACTGTGTCCAGTTCTGGGTTTCCCAGTCCAAAAGAGACAGGGATCTCCTAGAAGCAGTCCAGCAGAGAGCCACAAAGATGATAAAGCTCCTGGAGCATCTTCCATATGAGGAAAGGCTGAGTAACCTGGGTCTGTTCAGCCTGGGGAAGAGAGGACAGACTGGATCTGATAAATGTTTACAAATATCTAAAAGGAATTAGGAGGCAAATAGATAAGGCCAGACTCTTCTTGGTGATGTGTAGCTATAGGACAAGGAACAATGGCCAAAACTTGAACATAGGAAGTTCCATACTAACATGAGGAAGAACTTCTTTACAGAATGGGCAATGGAGGAGCACTTGAAAAGGTTACCCAGAGAGGTTGTGGAGTCTTCTGCGAAGATATGAAGATCTGTTTGGATGCCTACCTGTGCGACCTATTATAGGGTACATTCTTTAGCAGGGAGGTCCCTCCCAACCCCCACGATTCTGTAATTCTAACCACACAGCTCAAGCTGCCGAATTTTAGCCTCATCCTTAGCCACCACCACAGTACCAGACCTACTGCCACTGTTTCCTTTTCTGACACAAAGGAGTTTGGGCCCTGAGAAAAGCTGTTCTGGGAACTTGCCTGTTAACTTCTGCCCCTTCCTTCTGCCTGCAGAGCCAATTGCACTTCAAATTACTGAGTGCAGTTTACAAGCATGCGTATAGATTTAAGAACTTGAGTATTTGTACGTCAAAGATTGGAAGTGAGGCACAGTTTCACAGGTGAAAATCTGAAAATCTAGGAAACTCAAGAAGTTTTGCCTTTAGATTTTCATTTCAGCTCAGTTTAAGAATGCTGTTTGTATAATTTCAGTGAGAGTAGCAATCTCTTTTTTCCCCTCATCACTCTCAGTGCATTAAGCCATTAGTTTTCCTTTATGGAAGCTGATCCTAGGCAAAAAAAAAAAAAAAAGTACACACATGCTGTCTACAAAATAACAAATAATAAATGTTATCCTTTCATTCATGTCCCATGAAAGGTCATTTAGCAATTGTTTAAACCTAATCCTACAGATGTCAGTAGTAAAATTCCCCAGTGAGTGGAACTTAGCTAGCATGAAAGACTTGTGGTGACTCCAAATGAAGCCTGCACTCTACACTGACTACTACTATTGGTACGTACATTATGTAAGAACTAAAGGTCATATATAACTAGTTTCAAATAAAAAACTGTATATCAGAGGCACTAAGTTTTGTCTCCTAAGAAAAAAATATGTCAAGCCATTGGCTTTTTGCTTGTGTTTGAGGTAACAGGTGTTTATGTAGCAGCAGATGACTACTACTGTTTGCAAGCATAGTGCTATCATCCATTCTACTCGAACACAGATATATTTAAATTATCTTGGGGAAAATGATTGGAAAAGTGAAGTCTCAGGTGGTCTCTAGTAGAAGTCCCCTAAAATGAGCAGTAAAAGTACGAAAACATAATAAAAATCAAAAGAAGAGACCAGAACAGCTTTGTGATGTTTGATCAGTGGGATATAATCACTGAAGTCTTCTTGAATAACTGACTTTTCTTTTACACCAGGGAAATAGCTTTCTGAAATGACCTGAACCTGAAAAAACACAAAGAGATTGCTCTGATCTCCCATGCCTGATTCTTGTGCACATGAGGCTGGTAGAAATGAAAAGACTCCACAAGAAAATAAAATTTTAATATTACACCAACAAGTAGTTTAGCTGATAATAGTGTAACATTTTTCACAAAAGGAGATTAGATCTATAGCTAGGTAATTATTTATCCTTAGTAAGAATCAAGCTGAACATTTGCAAACAAGCACCAGTACTGTGGGAAAGAAAATCCATACATCAAATAACTGATGGGGATATAACATTGCACATTACAGACATCACACATATGCAATAATATGCCAACTCTTACTGAAGCACAAAGATATCTGAAGATATATAATCTCTGGTAAAGTTTTAAGCATGGTGATTATGGATGCGGTGCAGTATAAGGGAATATGGAGCAATGATGGAAAAAAACATCAACCACATTTTCAGTTAAAAAGCACTTCAGGAAAGGAGGGCAAAAGAAGCCTTAGTCAGAGTTAATAATTCCTAAGACCAAATCTATTTGGCCTGTGAATATTCACCCCTCCTTTTTGTTGTAAATGAAAACATTCATCTATCATTACAAAATAAATAAATAAATAAGTAAATAAATTCCATGTCTTCAATGTCGCAGATATCTTCTGAAGAACAAATGCAACTAGCAATCATAGCACTCAACTAATTCTCAATATAACAGCTGACAGATTGCTGCAAAATCTGTGTGCTAGTACCAAATATCTAGGGCAGATCTAGTGAGTATCTACAGAAATAAACATACATTCCCTTCTAGTTCTGTCAGTTCTTCAGATTTGGGAAAATTGGCATTCTATCATGTCATACATTTTTCTTTAAGTATGTGTGTGTGTATATATATAAATATAATGTAAGTTACATCATATCTGATGTGAACTCATTTCAAATACAGTTAAAGTTCAGTGCTCAATCTTTCACATGCACATGTGTTTTTGTGTACACATAAAAGCATACATTTGGTACCCAACTTGCTTTTTTTTCAAATAGATGATAATTCAGAAAAATGATTGGATTTTATGGTGGTGCAGATTTTGTTTTTTTTTTTCTTTTAAGTGAGCTGAAAAACTACTATAGCAAAACAGTGTCTTTTTCTGTTAAACTATGTCATTGCCCCACCAGCTCTTCTTTCTTAAGCTGAATTTTCAATTGCATTTCACATTTCAGCCTTGGTTGTTAGATGTAAAGATGCTTTATTTGTTATTCAATTAACAACTCACTTGAACATTTTGGTTTTTTAGGAATTTGATATCAAATTGCAACACTTTTTTCCTCATGACATTGATAGATAAATTCAAGATATGAAAGTTAGTTACCTGCTGACAAGAGTAATGAAAGCAAAACCATCAGCACATTCAAGGACTGTTGACCACAACTTGTCATTGTTGGCTTTCATTGGTCCATTAGAGAATCACCTGTTTGATGAGATGCAACATCATGGTTAATCGTCTATTTCATATCACTTTCGTTTGTTCAAACATTTACTTCCCCACAGAGCTTTGGTTAATTGAAATAGCTTCACACAACAAGAAAAAAAAATATTTCTATTATTCCTTTCTCATTTTACCCTGAATGTACAGAGCTATTTACATACTTTTCATTAACTCAGGGTATAGAGAAATCATATAAAGTATTTATTGGATATTCACACTTCCCCTGTAATCTAAGATCAGCAAGACTGTGCTTGTTTTATTGTCACATGAATGGGCTGTTGTATTATGCCTGTAAGAACCAGAAGGATATAAACAACGTAAAAATAAATTATCTGCTTTGGAAGTCGATCTGTTTTACTCCAATAGAGGGTGCAGTCGTTCAGAAAGTGGGTTGAACAACTGAGATGGCTGGAAACATTTGAAAAAACTACTTTGATTCTAATGAAAAGACTTTTGTAGAATTATTCCTATTTCTTGGTTTTCCTGGAAGACAGGGTGAGATGCGATCAGTTTGGCTGGCAGTTGTTCATAAAAAGGATAGCCTAGTTTGTTTTGCAGAAAAGCCCTACAGCTGGGGAAACGCATCTTACATCTGCATTGATTCAACATCACCAGCTGCATTTCACACAGCTATGGCAGAGGTTCTGTTCCAGTGCAAACAGCGTCACCAACACCAGCAGGAACATCTGGTACCTGTTGTCATTGCTAATGCAGACTAATGCTGGTCTTCAGCATCCTGAACTCACACGGACACTGGAAAATAATAAGAAGGTAAATTGTTGGCCTGTACAACACTGGGAGATTAGCCTATACATCAGAAAACCTAGGTTTTACTACTGAAGGCTGTTGGGTTGCATCTTATACTTGGGCTGTTGAAACAAAAAAAAAAAAATTAAGGCTTTTATAAAGGAGTGACTTGGAAAAAATTAAAGGAAAATGGCATTTTATGTCAAAAATTAAATTGATTCTGACAGCTCAAGACCAACATGATGCCAAATGCTTATGAAATCAGATAAATACAACATAATTTACTGATTGATGTCCTCCATAGACTAGAGAAGCAAATTAAAATCCCAAGACAATTGCACCTGCACTTTAAAAAGAAGGGGAATATATCAGTTTTATAATAACTGCATTATGAGTAACATTTGTGGGCACGGGAGGGGAGACAGTTCTATTGACAGTGCTTAGAGGCAACAGATTTCTCACTAAAAAAATACTATGTCCAGAACAAGTAGATTCTGTAAGAAGTCATCTTAGCAGATGAAGAAAACGGATCACAGACCTATAAATCAGTGGTAACTTTTGTACAAGAAGTTGTGATAGAATGCACTGTAATCTGCAAACGTGAATAATGTCCAAACCACTATCATACTTGTAGCTTTAAAATAAATCAATTCAAAAGGAAAAACAATTGGAGACCATGCCAGTAAGAGATGAGAAATAATTACAGAAAATCATGAAATGCTAATTAGGAGCATATTAAGAATACTTCTAAACATCAATACTGTTTGAAAAAGTCATTATCTTTCTCCAGAAGGAACATCACATCAGTTAAAACACCAAGCAGATATAAAGTCAGAATTTCATAAGAAAAGAGTAATACTGATCATAAGACAGAGATTAAGAATGTGGAAGTTTAATCAAGTGAAACAGGTACAAAGGATGAGTTACCTCCTATATTGTGTAAGGAAAAATTTCCTGAGTAAACCAAAACTGCAAGAATTCTGATAGTGATTAATTACCAGAAGGAAACCTTGGCTTTAGTAACAGTTAATTAAAGGGATCAATATGCACCTCTGTTGTGTATCTGGGAAGAGACAGATGTTTGGTAGGGCTGAGACTATTAAATATTTCCATATCAAGAATAATTTAGGATGACATTAATGAGTTGATACCAAAGTTTATAATTTTAAAACCACAGTTCTGTGTAATTTGTATCTCATTATCTTAGAAGGGATGGCAAAGGAGTATATAGATCCTTTTTTTTTTTTTTCCCCCATTATTCCGGTGGGAAAAACATGGTAGCATTCAGAAGAAACTTAATGACATTTTAAGCAGTAAATTGCATAATCTAGGTAAATATAAGCTTGTGAGCCTGATGATGATACAGAGAAAACTAATGGAATGGTAAATGTAAAAAACAATTAATAACTAATTAAGGAGACTAATGTAATTAATGTACATCACTTTGGGCTTACAAAAAGTACATTTTATGGCTCTCAATTCTGTTGTTGATGAAAGTTGCCTAATAAAGATAGTAATAATATAGCAGATTTCAATAAAATATTTTATGTAGTAGTATGCAATTTAATAAAAAATGACGAAAATGCAAAATAATAACACTGCATGTCAATTGTCAACAGAAGATTAACTCAGACAATAACAAAGAAGCATTTTTTTCTTTTTTAATTTTCACTCTTATAGGTAATAGAGTACAACCTTACAACAGAAATCTAGAACATTTTCAAGACGAGGAACATTATACTTATGTCCAACAGAAGTAGCAACAATGATACTGGCATTTTAATCCAAGGGTTGTGATGTTTCAATTTTGTTAAGTGCCAGCTCAGAAGATAAAAGTGGGGAGACAAAAACAGTAAAGATCTACAACAAAATGACAGAGTTGGGTATGTTTGTGTGTAGGAACGATACAGTGCATCATCTATCAGTCATTCTGTATATACACACATGGTCATATGGTATACCATGAAACCAGAGTGAGTGTGTGTTTATTGTTCCTAGAAGGGATACAAATATATATGTGTGATACATATATATAGAGAAAGACATAGGGAAATGTTCAATTTTGTAACTACTGATTCAGTGCATTAAATTGAATATGACCATTGCAGTGAGATGGAGATACAACTAATCATTCACTACTTTACAATTATTGTTATCATTATTTTCTTTCCATACTGTTGTTCAACTAAAGCAATCATATTTAAGTGCATCATCGTGACGATATCTCTGAGCTCCGGAGTAGGTTGCTCCAAAAATAATGCCTCTGGAACATGGTTTGTCTTTCACATTACTTTTGCCACTGCTGAAATACAACACCCATCATCTCACTATGCTCACATCCACTGTTTGGACTCCATGAACATTCAACAAGTGTTGATGAGTGTCAATAGGTACCATTTTGTTTCTGTATGGAGGAATTCGATGACACATCTTTGCTTCACATGCACTTTCAAGTCAGACATCATTTTGTCAGACTGCCTCTCTGCTGCCATTTGTTGCGCAGTAACAAAATGTAATGGAGTACTGTTGGCAAGGTTCAGTCTCTGTTGCCATATCACCAATGCCTCTGATGCTGTTGACCAACACAATAAAATAGGAGGCATTACTTTTGGAGCAGCCCTCATAAAACTCAATCAGCCAGGTGGAATAGACAGGCAGGAGAACTGGTGGTACAGAAAAAGAAAGGGCTGAAATCATAAAGAAATCATCCTAATGCTACTCCACATGATGGAGTGATATAAGTATGTATTATAATTATTTTACAGCTGAATAATTTGTTATGATTATTATTAGTCAAGACTGACAGAATGCTTTAAAATAAAAAAAAAATAAGGAAAAAGGAACTCTTTTTTGTTATTTCAATAAAATTTGAACAGCACGTGACAAATCCAATAGAAAGGTAAAGGGCTTGGAAGGTAAGCAATTAAGCTTTCTTCCTCATTTTGTAAATCAGTGATGTGTGGTCTAATGCCCAATTTTAACTTTCAGTGCACCATTTCAATCTTATTTGAGGTCAATATGGTCATCCTTCTCCTTGGCTTTTGACAACCCATTCTTTGTCTTACACCACATTCTGTTTTCTGCTAGCAATCCTAAGTACCACTACAGCTACACAATAAAGAAGGCTAACAAAATAGTTGAAGAACCATAGCTTTAGAGGACAGTTGCTTTTTAATTATCTCCCTCTTTCAACATTTCGGTTATGAAATAGAAATAATGGTCCTTACACATTTTTCTTAAGCTCTCTTTTTACAGAATAGAGATTATGTCAGGAATATTGCTTTCCCTTGATGACGATGCAACAATGAATGATTCAAAGAGAACATAATTCATAAGAAAGGTGCTGAGATGTTAAGATCAAGGAGCAGAGACATTAATATGAGACACAGCAGGTGGGCAGCTTTTTGTTCCTGCCGACAGAACCTGTGTTTGCCCCTCACTTTCTACTCCCACCACCACCACTACAGAAACTGACTTCATTTTCCTAACCCCTCGCCATGTCATCCCTAGATGAAGATATGCAGAGAATCACAGAATCACAGGGTTGGAAGGGACCTCAAGGATCATGAATCTCCAACCCTCCTGCCACAGGCAGGGCCACCAACCTCCCCATTTAATACTAGACTAGGCTGCCCAGGGCCCCATCCAACCTGGCCTTGAACACCTCCAGGGACGGGGCATCCACAGCCTCTCTGGGCAGCCTGTTCCAGCACCTCACCACTCTCTCTGTAAAGAATTTCCCCCTAACATCCAAATATACATATCATATCTTTGCACCAGACTTTACTCTTTAGTCCCACACTGTGACATTCTAGCTCGTTCTTTGCTAGTGTGTACACTGTTTCAGTTATCCTTATGGTTTCATCTAGCAGCCTGTTCTTGAGGGGGATCAGTGAATCATTTAAAAGAAAAGCTGCTCAGATAAATAACCAATTAATGTGGTGAGATTTTATGCAGAAATATTTTCCGCCTCAATTCAAAGGAAAAGACAAGTATGTTTAGAAGAGAGGCTTTGAACTTTTTTTTTTTGTTGTTGTTATTATAAAGAACAAAAGGTGCTAGCTAGAGGATTATTAACTATATCAGCACTGTCTCAGAAGTTAAAGAATAGCAGAAGTCTAGTATTGATTTAGAAGATCACCTAATTCAACTGTCACAGGATCAAGTGCACCTAAATCACAGGTAGCACCACCAACAGAGTAG